AGAAATTAGACGATATGAATACAAAACACTTTTTCTATGTATGGTAAAAAATAAAAATAAGTAAGTATCTAAAAATTATAAACATTGATATAAATAAAATATGCATGAATTCAAATATTGCTTAAAAAAAAATTTTTGTTTTTTTTTGGCTCTTACCCTCTCAAGTGTTTCTTTTTGATTAAAAAAAAAATCCCCACCAAAGATGAGCCCTGTAGCTCAACTCTAGTTAAAAACAAAAAAACAAGTTAAAAACCTACAAAGTTATCAAAAATTATTTTAGCTTTCAGTCATCTTTTATTAAGAAATTCGTAATTGTCAAAACATTTTTAAAAAAGCCTAAAAATGTCAATGACCACCCTGTATATTTGTGTCTAATACCTTTGTTTAAGAGATTTGACTTGTTTTTTAAAAATTTACATAATTTAACTAAAACCTTTTAGTTTCACCACTTTTTTTGTTCATAAATAGAAAAATCGGGCAAAACAAAAATTTTTTCTTGACCTTTTCGGACGCATTGAACCACCGTCATTTATATTGCTACAAGATGAAGAATTTAAAAATAACTTAATAAAATAAAATTTAAATTTTCCGCTATAGTATACAAATGTGTCATGGACAGGACAGGCAGATAGTGCGTTCGTGTCGTCTGTTTGTGCAAATAGAACGTTATCGCTCCTGCGAAAAATATAAATTCCGCGAAAACGCCGATTTATCCATAGAATTTGATAACTACGTGGAAAACTGATGTTTGTTCAGTTGTCTATCGGATAATGGGCCAAACAGTACCGATCAAGGTGTGAGACGCAAACATGTCGCAATATATCTCCCAGTCTTGACTGGTATTGAATTATTTTGGGACGGTTAATAAGGCAATGCGTCGTTAAAAAATTAAAAATTTGACGTATAACTGGTTACCTATAGAAATAATATCCCTTTATATAGTTCAGGCCACCTTGTATTTTTCATCGTAGTAAATATAGTCCAAATGAGTGTATTTAAGTATACTACGACCAGAAATATAGTGCCTTTACAACCAACCCCGTGATTAACTTTGCCTAATGTTTTTTACTCCAAAACCTCAACCCCTTAACCGTAACCATTCCAGGACCGTCCTAGGAATTTATCTACCTACACTAACAGGCGGGATATACGTATGTTTTCAATCTTTTAGTAATAATTCTGAATTTCTTATAAAATTGTAAACATTTAAACAATTTCACAACATGTGTTAAAAAACAGGAACCTTAAAAAAATATATTTATCTGTATTCTTATGACGTACCTTTATCTACCGCGAATGTAATCTGTAGTCTTACAAACGATTTTTCTTGTTTACAAATCATAAAACATAAAACTATGTAGAAGACACAAAAATACAAGAAGACAAATGTTGTTAATCGACAGGCACACAAGACAAAAATGAGAATGAGAATCAGGTACATAAATACGTACTTACTGAAAGAATCATATTTAAATACCTCCGTAATATATATAAGAACATCTTGCAATTTAGATTAGACTCTTAAGAACGATACATGATGTTAAAATAAATGATTCTACTTATTCGAAAATACCTTGCAGCATCAATGCATAATCAAACTTAAAAAAAAAAATCAAGTTTATAAAAATATTCAACTCAGGCAAGACTTAATGCAGAATAAACATCTATTGAACTAAGGTGGCAATTACTTGGTGAAAATCCATTTAACAAAATAAATAAAAACTAAAAGTTCAGATTTTTACGCAACTATATATTTTCACATGACAGTTGTTTCGACAACACCCTTTATCAAATTACCTGCTACTATATATACCGAAAAATCACAATAAAACCTAATTAAAGTTGTGAGAATTTAAGTTTAATAAAGGAGAGGTATTTAAATCTAATTGATCGTTAAGAATGTCTCATTTTGTTAATCTCCATGTGTTTTTCTGTGTTTAAGTGTGTAGCTTAATTAGAATCTAGACTATTGTTTTTAAACGCTCTTTTATGTTCGTTAATGCGTTCCTTCAAGGATCTACCTGTTTGTCCAATTTAAATTTTAGGACAAGATTCGTACTTCAATCTCTAGACACGTGGTTTTTGAGGTTTTGAACATTTCGTTTTATTGTTTTTGAAAAATTGTCCCAATGTGTTGTTAGTTCTGAAAGTTATTTTTAAACCACATTTTGACAAATGTTTTGAAACCTTTTCGCTGGGTTCTCCTATGTATGTAATTGTTTTAAATTGTTCGTGTTCTGTGTTAGGTTTCGGATAATTAGAATTTACTGTTGTCTGGATTTGTTTTTATTTATAATTTTATCGATAATGAACGGATTGTTGCCGTTGTTTAATGGTATTCGGTTCTTTGTCGTAATTTTTCTGTTGAGACTGGCGTATTAAGAAGCGTGTATATAAGAGTGAAATTTTGTGTGTATAAGGGTGATTTGAGCTGATATGTATGACTGTGTCCGCGTGTGAAGGTTTTTGATAAATGGAAAAATGTAATTTGTTTTGCGTTTTCGTAATAGTTAAGTCTAAAGAATTAATAGCGGTATCCTGTTCAATCTCGATAGTGAATTTTATACGATTATGTAATGAGTTAATGTAATTTAAAAAGGAATTCAATTGTCTGTCCGTTCCAACAAAGCAAGCAAAGACATCATCCACGTATCTATACCACCATAGAAAACTTTTGCTTAAAGGATGTTCTAGTATGATATTTTCCAAATTATCCATAAAAATCTTGGCTAACAAAGGACCAAATAATAATTGATCTAAAGATACTATTAAGCAATCTAATAAATCTTGTTTCACCAATGGGTTAACCTGTTCCCGAGTGAGGGTGAAATTTACACTATATGTTTATATTAAATGTATATTTAAGAAAATTTAGCATTTATTGTTTTCGTGAATATTAATGTATTTTTAGTAACTATCCCAATTTTTTAAATACAGATCATCAATTAGTGGTCAATAAATAACATAACATCTAAACATCCAAAAGTAAATTTTTTAAAATACTTTCTTTTAAGTGAAATTTTGCAATAAAAAATAGTTATCGTCGAACCAGCTAAGAATTTAATTTTATTTCCTATAAGAAGCAGTACAAAATAAAGTATCTTTAAAAAACATGTTTTGCATCTAAATTCGACACCATGATTACGATAAAAATGGATTTCATCGCGTCATTTTCCACAAACCACGCAACCACAAAAACTGATAACAGACGCACGAATAATGCTTAATTGTCGTTTATGCGTGTAAAACGAGCCGACCAAAGGTGCAAACATAAAAGGTAAACATTATGACATACTTGTAGCCACGTTTGTTTAACGCTAGCAGCGCCACCATCCGAGAGTACATTCGCGAATAGAGATCTAATACATTTTCATCGACGCGACGTTGCCGTTTCTTAGAAAAAGTAGCTAGTAATTTTCTTTGCTCCGGCAACTAATTAATTTATTTATAATAACACCAAAATCCGTGAAACCTTTGTTATCTGCGAAATTAACCTTCCTTTAAAGCGTCTTTCAACAAGAAATTAATATTTTTAACAATTGTATTTCTTAAGGGTCTGAAACTTTATGACTTAAATCCATAATTTTATTCTTAAGCAAAAGGCTTCATAATTTTTCATTCATTTTTATTTATTTACAAATTTACAGCTCTGGTTCCTGTTTCTTGTCTTGCGCATTGAATTTAATTGCAAATTCGTATTACTGTCATTGCGGCTTCTTGTGATTATTATCCTTTTCTATTTTCTTATGTGTACTCGGATATAATCAAAATTATGAGCAGCCAAGAAAAAATCGAGCATAATTTCGAAAAATATGTTAAATTAAAAAACAGTACAATTTTTTATTGCTATCTTGCGATTTTATCAAAACATGCCTTGTTCTTGAAAAAGTAGTTATGTGTGTGTGAAGCAGCAGGGATAGGCTAATTTTCCCCGTTTTTCTATCCCCTTCCCGTTCCTTATATCGAAACGAAAAGTGCTGCAAGTTTGCAAGATGACGCTGAGGAAGCAGTTGCACACGAGAACTGTCTTATTATTGGTAACATAGTAACGTTTTTTCTCTGAGAGCAACTTATATTGGTTTTAAAATGCTTAAAGATTCTTGTGCTATCGAATATTTGGTAAATTATGTCCTGTTGCCAGTACAACCTGATCGTCTGCAAAGGGGAAGGCGGGTGTCGTCTATATTTATCCCCATGCCTTAAAGCGCTGCTGAGATAAACTTTAAATAGTATTGGACGCCTTTTGTTTGTGCTTGGTTTTCTCTATGCAGGGCTTTTACGGTGTTTATGTATACATTATTTATGTTAGGTTCTTTCAATTTCTGTAAGGGCACAGAGTCGAACGCTTTGCGAAGGTCAATAAAGGTAGCGTGAAGGTCCATTCCTCTTGCTCGTTGTTTTATTATAAATATAGTGTCTGCAGGATCGCGGTGGTCGAAACCCATTTTGTTCTTCCATTTCTGAGACTTCTTCTATTCGGACTGTTGCAACTCTTTCATATTGCTTTCCGATGAACGATATAACTAATACCTGGGTATTACAGTCGCTTCTGTTTCCTTCTCTTGGAACCGGCTCTCCTCTCAGGCATCATTATTATTCTTCATTTTTCATTTTTCGTAATGCTGCTTGTATCTCTTCCAATTTGTGTTACGTTTGAAATTGTTTATGGTTCTCCAAACTGCTCTTTTAGCACATTTATTTTCCCACGATTTGTTTTTTATTTTCTTTTTTAAAAACAGGAATAATTTTGGCAATCTTCCACAACTCAGGAAAAGTACACCGTGTGCCAAATAAATCGACCCATAGGAGATACGAAAAAAAGTTTCGTACAAAAGTTTCTTGGACTCTCCTGAATTTTTAAAGTATTATAATTTCGTTGATACAGGGTTTCCCAAAAGTATCCCATCCGACATCAACTTCGTTGATCCTATAGTCGGTCATTTTATTTGGTATTGATTATATGAATGTAGTAGTGCATATCGCTTTTTTTGTGTTTGCAGACGCCGCTACAACTATCCATAATCAAAAATGCCGGACCCAACGTGGTATGCCGATTGTTGGACTACGGAGCCGACGTATCGGACTGCGACGGTGACGGCAACAACGTAATCCACCTAGCTGCCAAATTTAGGCGGAAGAATTTGTTGGAAGTCATCTTATTCCATAATCGGTTCAAAGAGCTCTACGCACGCTGCTTGAACGATTTCAGTTTCGAAGGTAAGACATGTATTAAGTGTTCGCAAATGTTTTCCATGATACCACCATAAAAGGTATTATAATGTGTAATTTAATAAGATTATGCCTACCTAAATAAACAAAAATAATATATATTATTTCCAAAATCTTTGAGAGTCCGAAAATTATTTCATGGGGTCTTGAATAATATTTTTGCCCAGACTGTACAGAGTCTCGTTGGTCTCAAAAGTTTTACACAATTTAAAATTACAATTAAAGTCTACAAAAATAGTTACGAATAAAACATACATTTTTTAAATGTATGCTTTGAATTCCTTTTAAAATACTCCAACTTTTTTATTAATAATAATACATAATAAATACATGAAAAAATTTATTTGTCAGACTTCTATTAGGACACCTCTCCTTGCATTTGTTTTACTGCACAAAAGGATATGTTTCTGCCTCACCCAGTATATAAATTATATGAATTAAGTCAGCTACTAAGTTTTTTTTTGTTAATTTCCTGACACGGCAATAAATTTAATTTACTCAGTTGTGAGGTAAACACTTAACAATGCCATTTCGTCATCACCAACTAACGTTTTAGCAGTAGTTTTTGATATAAAGCAAGGAAAGTTCAAATAAGTCGCAAGGTGTTAAAAATTAATAAAAGTTGTATGTTTTCGTAAGATCTCTCAGAAAAAATAATAACGAAAATCAAAATACTTGAAAAACTATTAGGGTTTGTTATGTATTGTTATTAATAAAGTTTTAAAAGGGGAGATTTTAAAAGGGAATCCAAAACAAAATTTCAAAAAAAAATATGTTCCATCTTAACATACACAAATGAAATTTTATGTTTTAAGTATCCCCACAAAAAATATCACAAGGATTCAGATCGGAGCTGTTGGCAAGCCATTTGATAGTTCCTTGCCTACCTATCCAAAGGACGTTATAGGGCCCATCTTGATGCCAACTTAAATTTAAATAATTCTTGACAGGCACATTATTTGACCACTGTTCTATCGCTGTTGCAAGGAAATCTGTTTTGTTCAGAAAATTTCTATCTTCTTGAGATCTTCTATACATTTCAGTGGAAAATTCCAGCCTCTGCTTTTTATGTTCATCGATTAAATTTTGCACTGGATACGGGTAAAACTTATGAATTTTAGCGTTCTTTGAATTTTACTGTAGGACTGTTCGGAAAATTTTTTAACGTCAGGTATCGAATATTCTGAAATTTCAAAAATATGCGAAATATAAGAATTAAGAAAGAAGAAACCAAAGTCATGATGTCAAGTATCGTAATAGTATAATAATCTACACTGAAAGTAAAGTAATATATGTATTGAGGTTTTCAAATTTTTTAATTACATTTTTAATTGTATTTATTGAAGGGAGTCTTCTCCTCGGATATATTTGTCGATATTCTCTTTCAACCCTTGCAAAATTTGAATAATATAATCTTATTGTTTGGCGTTTTTCTTCCTCAGTATAACCTGATATCTTAAATATCTTAAGTAATTTAACTTACGCTGCCGATCTTTAGTTTTGATTGATTGAAACAATTGCAAACATAAATAATATGGTTGGCATCAAGGCAGACTTGGCCATTTTTAAACAATATGGCTATGGTCCAGAAGTGGAATGATAATTATTTTTAAACTTCATCCTGTTGGCTTGTTCAGAGCTTGACTGAAACTGGCTCGCATTTTACTCTACCTGCTTATATATTGTTTGAGGGGGGCGGAGCTAAATGAGGGGCATAAACATGGATGACTGATTCCCATATTGGTGACAAGCAGAGACCCGAGTCGCTGTTAAGATTGTTAGGTTGTTTATACATTTCTATAGACCCTCGGATTTTTCGTTGGTAGAAGAATTGATTACATGCAAGAATTTTAGTTTTATCAAATAAAATTTTATGACCGGTTTCGTGATTGTCTTGGGCAACAGCTGATGAGTTTATTTGTCTTAGTCTTAAGGCTTTTTCATCCGGTCTCTTCCATTATATTTTTCGCCGCATATGCCTGGAATGGAGAAGTGGTAAATCTGGTTTTAACGATATATTTTTTTAGAACTTTTGATATGTGGTCAGTGATGTTTTGAATGTAAGGAAGGACAACAGTAGCAAGTGTGGGATTGCTTTCGGCTTCATTGCTATTGGAAATTTGTGATGAAGTGTATTTTTTGATGGAACGCTTAATATCTTTATTATGGAAAATATTAGAGAGAAAAGCAGGTGTTTTAATTCTGGGTTCAGTGGCTAGGGCTGAGATAAGTTAGACTAGTCGTGTCTTATGTAACGGCTCCAGCAGTTAAACTCCCGACAAAATTAGTAAATATTTTAAACCAAAATTTTCAGTAAAAAAATTCTTTGGAATTAATCAACAAAATTAAAGATATCAAAATCCCTTCTAACGCAACACTATTGTCTTTAGATGTACAAAACTTATTTCTCAGTATCCCACCTAGGGATGTGATAAATTTAGTAAATTTCACGCTCACTCGGAAACAGGTTAACCTATTGGTGAAACAAGATTTATTAGATTGCTTAATAGTATCTTTAGGCCAAAATTATTTTGAATTTAATGCACAGATTTACATCTCTAAGAGAGGTTTGATTATGGGAAACCCACTTAGTCCTTTTTTAGCCGATATTTTTATGGGTACTTTGGAAAATATCATACAAGAACACCCTTTAAGTAAAAGTTTTCTGTAGTGGATGGATACGTGGATGATGTCTTTGCTTGCTTTGTTTGAACGAACAGACAATTCATTTCCTTCTTAAATTACATTAACTCATTACATAATCGTATAAAATTCACTATCGATATTGAACAGGATAACTCTATTAATTTTTTACTCTAACTATTACGAAAACGCAAAACAAATTAGATTTTTTCATTTATCATAAACCTTCACACACGCACACAGTCATACATAACAGCTTAAATCACCCTTATACACACAAAATGGCTGCATTTCACTCTCTTATACACCGTCTTCTTAATACGCCACTCGCAACAGAAAATTACAACAAAAAACCGAATATCATTAAACAAATTGCACTGAACGACGGCTACAATCCGTCCATTATCGATAAAATTATAAATAAAAAACAAGTCCAGACAACGATACACTCTATTTATTCGCAACCTAATACAGAACACGAACAATTTATAACAATTACATACATATGAGAACCCAGTGAAAAAGTTTTAAAATATTTGTCAAAATGTGGTTTAAAAATAGCTTTCAGAACTAACAACACAATAGGAATTTTTTTAAAAAACAATAAAACGAAGTGTCTAAAATCTCAAAAATCAGGTGTCTACAGGTTGAAATGCGGATCATGTCCTAAAATTTATATTGGACAAACGGGTAGATCCATCAAGAAACGCATTAACGAACATAAAAGAGCGTTTAAAAACAATAGTCTAGATTCCAATTATGCTACACACTTAAACACAGAAAAATTTGACGACAATTTTAATATTTTACACTCAGCTACAAAAAGTAGAAAATTAAATTTATTGGAAGCCATGGAGATTAACAAAATGAGACATTCAAATGGATTGCTTAACGATCAATTAGATTTAAATACCTCTCCTTTAATGAACTTAAATTCTCACAACAACTTTAATTAGGTTTTATTGTGATTTTTCGGTATATGTAGTAGCAGGAGACACGGTGTTGTCGAAACAAATGTCATGTGAATATATATAATTTCGTGAAAATCTGAACTTTTAATTCTTATTTATTTTGTTAAATTAAATTAAAACTAAGATAGTAAGCAAGCTGTAAACAAGAGAGTCGATAACCGATGATTTTTGGACCGGATGGTGATGTGATAATGTATTAAGGTATCGGTCTGTGTGCGTAGGTTTTCTGTAGGCTCAATGACTCAATGTTAGTTATGATTTTCTATTGATAAGAATATCTAAGAATGGGAGGTTATTATTAGTGTTTATTTCAATGGTAATACGAATGTTAGAGTATATAGAGTTTAAATGTCTAAGAAAATCTACTAGGGTTTCTTGGCCCAAATAACAAGCTCTGAAGAAGCCAAGTTCGACTCAGCAAAAACCGACGCAGGCGGAATCCAGAAGTTTTGTAAAAAGTATAGGGCATTGCATTAAAAAAAAAGATGTTGCCAACATTTTGACAGCTTGCGATCGTCGTTTGTTTTTTCTGACATTTGCATAAGATAATAGAGCAAAAATCTTCAAACTTTTGTATTTTTCTTTTCGAAATTTTAGGTTTGACGCCGCTAATGATCTGCTGTTTAAGCGGATGGACAGACGGGGTAAAAACTTTTCTCCGACATCGCGCGAAGGTGAATCTCCGGGACCAAAAGTCAGGCCGCACGGCCCTGTTCCACGCCTCCGAAATACACAGCGGTAAGTTTCGGTCCCGCGCCGATAATAATATTCTACAGGGTGATTCACGATTTAAAGCAAGCATGGTGTTGCGGGGACTATTTATTTTATATAATAGTCAATGAATAGTTAAACCGGGACCAGAAAAAAAAACATGGGATTTTAAATGAATTCCTTAGGAATTGAAAATGAACTCTTTTTTTGTTTTTAGAGATCAATGCAAATAAAAAAACAAAATCTGGGGTTAGTAGGCAACTGACGTATAAAACAGAACGCTATCAATCTTCTGACGTGTAAGCCTATATCTTTTTTTTTAAACGGAACACCCTGTATATTATATATGTGTTTAATAGAATATCTTATTCCTATTACAATGATGTTAGGCACTTTATATTTTAGTCCATTCGGTTTTGACAAATCGGCGAAAATAGGAAATTTTCTGTGCATTTTTTGTGTCCCCAAAACAAAAAATCCATTAAAGTTGAGCCGGGGCTGTTGGCTGGCCAATCCATAGTTCCGCCGTTCCCTGTCTAACCCCTGAGATATTCCATGTTAAGAAAATTTTTAACTTGCACAACCAATATCGTGTATTTGGTCTATTACAACCTTTTCTTGTAGTGAACGAACTTTCATCAGTCCATAAAATGTTTTTCAAAAAAACACTCTAATTATGTCTATTTGAAAAATCCTCCTTTGACATTATTCTGCGCTTACTTTTTGACTTGGACTTTAGATTCTTTCAAACCTGAGTGGATTGATTCCTGAGGAATACCTGTCTCTTCCTATATTCTGGTAATAGAAGAAACTGGATGTGCTTCATAGAATCCTAACATGTTTGCCTTATTTTATTAATTTCAATTCAGGCATGCCTTTTTAGCATTTAATATTTTTTCTTGCTACCTTGGAAATATCTGTGGATAAAATGTGTCTGTGGATACTCAGCTAGCACTTTTATTATTTAGAAAGTATACTTGATTACTCCTTTGAGGGATGCTAAATTCAAGAATTCAAACATCAACGTTGTTTACTAATATGCCAAATATATTATAATTGAAATCATATATAAATTGCCAATTTGTCAAAAACGAGTAGACTAAAATATACAGTATGCTACATCATTGTAATCGGAATCAGATATTCTTATATATTCTTATTAAACACATATATAATGTACAGGGTGTTTCGTTTAAAAAAATTACTGTAGGCTTATATGTCGGAAAATTGATAGTGTTTTGTTTTATATGTCACTAACGTTACTAACCCTACATTTTGGTTTTTCTTTTACTTTGGTATCCCAAAATAAATAATTTAACGCACGGTACAGCCTTAAGTGAAGTACAAAGCAAATGACGTCACAAACAGATAACGATTAATTATTATATTTATTATTAACATTTCCCGAATACTTTTCTTGAAATTTCTAATAGTGCTTATACATTTCACAGAGTTGATGCACATATAATAAGGTCCTTTTTCTGTTATCGACAATTTGATTAGGTAGCCATAATATTCTGGGCTCGAGTGTTATAATTGTGTATTATTTTTGCGTTAAATTCATTTCAATTTTTATTTTTATTTATATTAGACATTCGTAACTCTAGATTGCACACACGGTCATTGCCTGTAGTTGCTCAAAGGATCCTCTGCAAGAGTCATTGTACTGCATTTTTCTCATCGATCTTATGGTTCTCTTTTGAATAATAAACACTTTTTTAGTTAATAACTACAGCCCCAGAGTGTTATGCCATACCGTACAATAGATTCATAATTGACACAATTAACCGTTCTTAAGGCATGCGTTCTCATATACCTTCCGGTATCTTTAATTGCGTAACCTATCCTATTTAATTTTGTACATACTGTCCGTATATGTCGTTCCCATTCTAAATGTTCCTTTATTTGGACACCTAAAAACTTCGTATTCTCCGTAAACTGTACATTTATTTTTGTTAATTTCTAAATATTCAGGAATCTGGGCTATTTGATTTTAATTTGTTACAGTCAATAGGTTTCTTCCAGGTGCTAAAATATTTGTAATAGGATATCAAAAAATTATCTATGCCCATTGGTGGATCGTTTATATAAAAAATAAAAAGAATTGCTCCTAGTATGCTACCCTGTGGTATCCCTGTACTATTTTGTTAGATTTCAGATTTTGTAGTATTGAGTTTTACTATGGCTAAGTTTTTTTTCTCGAACTGCCCCCAGATGGTTTTTGTGAACTGAAAAATGGTGGAACTGGTTGATCTGTTTTTTAAGTAGAGAACAGTTGACATTTATTCATAAATTCATCGAATCTGGAGCATATCACCCTTTCAGTTTGGAAAAGCTGGGTAAAAGACTAATTGGTCGTTAGTTATCTAGATCTTTCAAGTCCCCTTTTTGGTAAACTGGTTTAATTAGAGTTAATTTTAGTTGCTCAGCAAAGACCGCTTACTTCATTGAGTTATTTATTAAGTAACAAAAAACCTCGATAGTTTCACTATACTAGCCGGAATTTGGTCATAACCGCTGTTATATTTGTTTTTTAATTTTACTGAAATTTTCAGTATTTCATTTTTTGTCACAGGAATCATATGTACTGACTGACTATTACCTATTATGCTATATTAAAATGGAATATAAGTTTGCGCATCTAAAAGTGCTGGGATTATGGTTGTTTCGTCGAATCTTCAGCGAAGTCTGGAAGGTTCTTGTTACTTTTTCCTGTAGCTTCTGTAATACTTTTCATTTTGTTATCCGAGTTTACTATTCTCCTTTCGTATAATTGTTTTTTTCTTCAATTAGAAGTTTATCATATTCGTTCTTTGTTACTTTGCATAAATATTTGTAGTTAGCGTTTGTTTTTGACATGGTTAACGATATATCTAATCTCTGTTCAATCCCTTTTAGATTTAAAGATTTTGTAAGCCCTTTTGATAAGGAAACACTCATTGAAGATATTTTCCCAATTTTGACAATTTAGCCTTTCAAGAAAACATGCTTTGTCATCGTCGCTAAAAAATCTGTTTTGTACAAATTTATTTTCATTGCCCTTCTTTAAACTAAATGCAAATTGTTGCGCCAGATGATTTGAAATATGAGCCTGAATTACTATAGAATGTTCATTACTATCTAAATTGGTAAAAATATTATTTAGATAACTACTACAGTTTGGTGTTATTCTGGTATTGCATGTTACAGTTGGATGTATTCCGAAAAACTAAACAGAAAAAAAAGAGAATTCTTCCGACTGTTTTCTAGCAACATTTCAATATTAAAGTCCCCTGCAATAAATACTATTATTGTCTATTTCTAACAGTGTCAACATCAGTTCTAGTTTAACAAAATACATAAGAACTAAAAAATTTAGTATTTAAATCTATTTGATGGTTAAGCAAAACATTTGAATGTCTCATTTTGTTAATCTCCATGGCTTCCAATAAAATTAATTTTCTACTTTTTGTGGCTGTATGTAAAATATCAAAATTGTCGTGAAAAATGTATTTTCCTGTGTTTAAGTGCGTAGCACAATTACAATCTAGACTATTGTTTTTAAATGCTCTTTTATGTTCGTTAATGCGTTCTTTTGAATTAGTCAACAAAATTAAAGACATCAAAATCCCTTTCAACGCAACACTATCGTCTTTTGATGTACAAAACTTATTTCCCAGTATTCCATCTATATAGATAGAATTAGTAGTTTTGACGCTCACTCGGAAACAGGTTAACCCATTGGTGAAACAAGATGTATTAGATTGCTTAATAGTATCTTTAGACCAAAATTATCTTTTAATTAATTTAATGGACAGATTGACATCTCTAAGGAAGGTTTGATTATGGGAAACCCACTTAGTCCTTTGTTAGCCGAGATTTTTATGGAAAATTTGGAAAATATCATACTAGAACATCCTTTAAGTAAAAGTTTTGTATGGTGGTATAGATACGTGGATGATGTATTTGCTTGCTTTGTCGGAACGAACAGACAATTGAATTCTTTTTTAAATTACATTAACTCATTACATAATCGTTTAAAATTCACTATCGAGATTGAACAGGATAACTCTATTAATTCTTTAGACTTAACTATTACGAAAACGCAAAACAAATTAGATTTTTCCATTTACCACAAACCTTCACACACGGACACAGTCATACATAACAGCTCAAATCACCATTATACACACAAAATGGCCGCATTTCACTCTTTTATACACAGACTTCTTAATACGCCACTCGCAACAGAAAATTACAACAAAGAACTTAATATCAGTAAACAAATTGCACTGAACAACGGCCACAATCCGTCCATTATCGATAAAATTATAAATAAATAACAAACCCAGACAACAGTAAACTCTATTTATTCTAAATCTATTTAACACAAATTACATACATAGGAGAACCCAGTGAAAAAGCTTCAAAACATTTATCAAGTAAAAGCCACCTCAGTTCAAGTTCTAGTTTACTTAAAAATAGATCAAATTGTCCTTGACGAGGTCTACAAACTGATACTATGATGATTTTATATTTTTTTGCAGCATGCATTCCCACGTAGCACATTCAAATTCCCCTTGTATTGATAGCTCACAAATTTTCATGCGTTCGCTGCTTCTCAGATTTTGTTTAACGTATACGGCACTGCCTCCATGTTTTCCCTTATTCCTTAATACGTCATCGGTTGCGCGTCATCCGGTATATTAAACTTTGAATTTCCAGCCGAGATCGTGCGTTTGCTATTGCAAAACGGCGCGGACCCGAAAGTGAAGAATTTCTTCGGCACGAGTCCACACGACGCAATGTACGAGCTGGACACGATCCCGACCGAAATCAAGAACTTGATCTTTAGCAAAACGAAGAAGCGGAGCAGCGAGGCGGAGCTGAACCCCGCCAGAACGTCCAAAGCGGCCAAGTTGCTGAAAACGTACCCGATGTTCAAGAAAATCGATAAACCCGAAGCGTTTGGGTAACTGCCAAAATTCGAATAAAGAAAAAATGGCTAATCTGCTGAAAAATGGTATAATAACAACTAACGCAGGCTTATTGCAATGTAGGTTTTAAGTTGTCGCCAGTTCGTTGAATATGGGTATATACCAAAATAGTCCATGGAGTTAAGGTCACAAGAGTTTGGCGGCCAAATCGGGTGCCGGTGCTATTCACAAAGCCGTTAAGTCGTCATTTCTTTCTTCAGCAACGCGTGTAAGGCTCAAAACTTTCTTCAAAATACGCCACTTTGACATCAGGATTTGCTGGTATCATTCTAAAATACCGTTTACAAATATTTTACAAGTTAAATTCATTAAGTTTATTTAAATATAATATATAGCGTATCAAGTAATTTCCAATGGTCTTTTCTTATTTAATTTTTTTTTAACAAAATCAACGCACTAATTGAAGAGTTGAACATTTTTATTTTGAGGTTTAAAATGCGTAGTGGCCACGGAGACGTCTTGAAAAATGGAAATTTTGTATTTTTTTTGTGCGTTAGAGACAAAAGTAATAAGTAATAAAAATAAAGGAGAAAAAAAACTATAGTTCACGCATTTTGGTTAGTTGGCTAGCACAGAATTAAAGAATATTTTTATTTTCTTAGCAATATATTTCTTAAAAAGTTTACTTATTTTTTGAGTTTTATTCTTCTGCTATTCTTCTAAATCTGGTAATATGACTCTTATCGAAAGAAATACCACGTAATTCTAATTTATGTTATTAAGTAATGTGTCTAGATAGTACTTTTTTGGACGAGCAAAAGCGTACAATAAGGCAAACTGACATTTTAGATGTATTTATGGTAAATCGTTTAAATGTCAGAATGATTTTTTGCTTTGGTAATATTCAGCGACATTTTCTGAAGCAAATCTGACTTTATATTTATTTATTTAATTTTTTCTAGCATTTCGATGAGAAATACTGATTAGCTTATTATACAATGTGTCCCAATAGTTCAAATCCTAACAAAAAAGAAAAATTGAACACCGATATAAGCTACCTAATCTAAAAATATTTTCATTTATACAGGATGTCCTAAAAATCTGCACCAAATCAAAGTGTTTTTTTTTCTGACGATACGCCCCGTTATCAAAAACAATCAAAACCCAAAAACAATATTCCGCAATATTGTGTGTTTCTCTATATTTATACTTTATATATATATATATATATATATATATATATATATATATATATATATATATATATATATATATATATATATATATATATATATATATATATATATATATATATATATATATATATATATATATATATATATATATATACTTGATTTTTATTATAGGCCGGGCCTAAAATATGTAAGACAGTTAAAAAATAATATAACTTTAATTGTAATAATTAATTGAAAAATTAGAAATTTAATTAAAATGTTTTCGTCTAAATTACCTCCCACAAAAAAAAACTGTGAATTATGGAAAAAGAAGGCTAAATAAACTAACCAAAGATTAGATTGTCCAATGAAATTAAGAATTTTAAGAAATCTAATGTCTTTGCGGCACTAACTATTTTAATATTTCACCCCATGTAAATTGATCAATAATTATCAATCAAAGTAAAAAAAGTAGCTCCTATCTTCAATGATATTGGCCATTTTTTTCAAAGTTCCAAAATTAACTTTGTCCTTAGCTGAGTGTAGATTGTACACAAATGTAAGAATTGTAAACCCCACGTGAAAGGTTCTTTAAAAAACAGGTACGATGGGAGCTATATAGAGTGTCCCAAATAGGATGCCTCGTTCCCTATCGCGGTGAAATTAAAAGTTATTTCATTTGGCCGTGACCTTTGGAATATACCAGGAGACACAGGAAAGTGGGTATAATTTTTTTAAAAAAAGTTTTGTTTTTACGTTTACAAGGAAATTTATATCAATTTTTCTTCAAACGAAAACACCCTGTATATTTTCTTTAAAATCGTTTAAATATTTTTCCAACTATACCGGATGACGCAAGAAAGTGAGAACACTATAACTTTTAAACGGCATGAGGTAGCGATTTGAAATTTGGAAGGGTTGATATAGGCTGAAAATGGTTGCACTTCCGGTTTGAGCGGAAACGACAGTAACTTTCGAATTTTAAACGGCACAACCTATATTTTTTTGCATTTTTGGATTCAGGAGATCATTCTGCGTAGGATAGGGCGGTTTTTCTTTTTTTTTTTTTGCTTTTTTTTTTAATTTTTATTTTCTTATTTTTTTTTGTTTAATTTATTTCTTTCCACCGCATGAGCTTGTCGAGAGCTTCTCCTGCATTTGTAATCTTAGCTACTTGACAATTAATAATGAATTTTTTCCTTCCTGTGAGCTTATTTTTCAACGGATTTTGAAAATGTTGCTGTCAAAATGTTACACAAAAAGTATCGGCTTTAAAAAGTGTTTGTTCCCACTAGGGTGCATTTAAAAAAAAACTAGGTTATTCTTAAAAATTAATAGTTCATTGCATTTGCCATTAGGCAGGTAAAGAAAAGTTTCATTTACAATTTTTTACATAATCAGGTGACCCGGTCACAACCACCTAGACACAATTTTAAAAATTAAATAAAAATTAAAAAAAAAACAAAAATTGAAGAAAGAAAAACCGTCCCCTATCTCCTGAATCCAAAAATGAAAAAAATCAAAAAATTAAAATTCGAAAATTACTGTAGTTTCCACTCAAACCGGAAGTGCAACCATTAACTACATATTGTCAAAAAAATTTCTCAAGCCGTTTCAAAGTTATAGTGTGTTGCCAGTTTCTTGTGTCACCCGGTATAGGTTCCCAAATTTGTAAAATTCCAACTTTTCCGCAGTTAATGTCTGCTTAAAAATATTTAGTTTATACGATTTTTAGGACAATATATAGGGTGTTCCGTTTGAAGAAAAATAGATACCGTTCATATAAATTTCCATGCAAAGTAAAAAAAAAACTTTGAATAAAAATGTTAAAACAGTTTGAATGAAATTACGTGGTAGTAAGTAGAAAACTAACTTTTTTTTAAAGATTCTGTATTTACATTAAAATAAAATCGCCTCTACGCTACTGTACTTCGGGTTATATGGTATAGATTTTCAGCATTTAATGACGAGTTCTTTTTTTTATTTATTTTTTTAACAAAATGAACGCGCAAAAAAAATGAAAAGCGTGAATGACGCTTTTTATTCGCCATGTTGAAAAGTTGAATATTTCTGTGCTTGAGAATTTTACGGAGACATCTTGAAAAATGAAAACTTTGTATTTTTTTTGTGCGTTAGAGAAAAAACCTTAACTTTGTTATTAAATGAAACGAAGTAAGTAATAAGCATTAAAAAAAATTAGAAAAAAACTATTCTTCTGATTGTACGCATTTTGCTTAGTTGGCTAGCACAGAATTAAAAAAATATATTTATATTCTTAGAAATATATATTTTTTTAATTACTCATTTTAGGAGCTTTATTCCTTTTTTAAGTTTAGTTTAAACCATTATTGCCATTATTACCACAAAAAATCTGGTAATATTACTCTATCGAAATAAATACCACGTAATTCTAATTAATTTTATTCGCGATTTAGAGTGTAATTTAATTTTGTCCATCGTCATTATAAGGTAGCCTTATCGAAGGTCTGTATATACATACTCGTTCCATGTGGGTGTTTAATTGTTAATTGTTGAAATTTCTGATTTTCAACGTTGTAGATAATTCCTTGGAATGCTGAAATTAGTTTACGCCTAAATTAATTTAATTAAGTAATGTGTCTAGAGAGTACCTTTTTTGGACGAGCAAACGTCTACAATAAGGCAAACTGACATTTTAGATGTATTTATGGTAAAGCGTTAAAATGTCAGCACGATTGTTTGCTTTGGTAATATTCAGCGACATTTTCCAAAGCAAATCACTTTTTAATATTTTTAATCTCTTTTTATATTTTGGTTGTTGTTATTTGCCAAGGTAAAAATGAAATGATGCACATAATTGTTTTTTTAACATAAGTTATTTTTCGTTTATTATAAATAAATTGTTATTCGTCCGCGGGTATATCAAATTTGAACGAAGCTGTACATATAATATTGTTTTTCGAAAATTTGTTTAGTAATTTAAGCATTGTAGATCCAAGTTCTGTAAATTAAATTAAGTCATCAATTCTTGACATATCTCGTTTTTTTTTATATCTCCCGAGCCCCTAAGTTTGGAATATGAAATCATCTTTGCATTACAAGGAGGTTGTTTACAAAAAATCGCAAAGATTAAATAAAGGGAAATAAAAGACTTTTCCAAAATTTTACGTAAACATTGCACATCACTTAAAATGAATAATGGCATAAAGAACTAACAAACCTCAAAAAAGCGAAACAATAAATGAAACGCTTATACGAGGTGTTGTCAAAAGTAAGGTGACTTTTGTATTTGGGCGGGCTAGGTCACTTCGATCTTAAATTGCAATTTTTTTGACTAATCCAAATTGTCGATAGTGAAAGATTAGATACGATAATCAACAAGAAAATAATACCCAATATTAATTTCAGATTTATTTTAAGAAAAAATATACCGGGTTACACAGGAAAGTGGGAACACTATAATTTTTAGACGGATCGAGAAGCGTTAATATGGTTGCATTTCCGGTTTGAGCGAAAACTACAGTAACTTTCGAATTTTAAATGGCACATCCTTTTTTTGGCATTTTTGGATTCAGGTTTTTCTCTTTTTTTTGTTTTTTTTTTAATTTTATCTATCATTGACAATGAAAATTTACTTGTCTAATGGCAAATAGCATCTAATGTAATGAACTATTAATTTTTTTAGGATAACCTAGGTTTTTCAAATAGCACCCTAGTGGGAACAAAACTTTTTAAAACCGGTACTTTTTTTGCAAGATATTGACACCAAAATTTTCAAAATCCGTCGAAAAATAAGCTCAAAGGAAGGGGAAAACCAGAGAAGTATATATGTTCTCATAAAAACAAAATATTGCTTAGGTGGCTTTGCTTCTATTTATCATCAAGTCGACATGAGAAACTGGAGTGCGGAGTTGGGTGTTATTGTTATATTTTAAGTACTTTTAAAAGGTTTCATCACAAAAAGGGCTAAGCTGAGTTGATCTGAATCAAGAAATGAGAAAATTAAACCCTTTTTGTCCTCAAATTGCTTTCGAAAAATCGTCACTGGGCGGGGCAACTTCGTAGCGCGAAGCGCGAAACAACTTTTTATTACAAAAGGAAAAAGCTTCGCGGTTTCGTGTGGTAAAAGGACGCATTGGACCACTATGAAACTTTCTCAAAATCGATGTAATTTAATTGTGCATGCACCCTGTATAAAATGTCCTTCACATCTCGTCGAACTTCAAAGTTACAGCAAACATCGGTAAATATCAAAATTTGCACAAATAATAGCGTTGTCGAATGATATTTTTTTTAAATATCTGTCGCCCGTATAATTGATGAAACATGAAACTCTCTCGCGACACGGTTTACGATACTGTTCAAATAAAATTATCCTATCTTTAACGGTTTTTCATTTATCGCCAATAATTTACCAACAAAAACGGAAATTTTTAGGATATTTCGAAGTAGAAGTTATAGCACTGGATTTTCCACATTTCCTGGTATAACAATTTTTTGAAAATAGTAAATGGTTTTCGAAAAAATTAGTTTTTTCTGACACCATGCAGTGCGCCGAATAAATCAATGATGTCATCGCGTCTTGACAGCCCCCGAAATAACGATTTCAATATAGATTTTTTCAAATATCCCGAGCAGCCTATGGGATAGATGAAAACCGCAAATACAAAAATTGTAGCTCTTGATGCGGCCTATGACATCGTGAACCAATTAGCCATATTTTTTGCGATTTTTGATTTGCGGTTAATAAGTTACTCTATAAAAGAACAATTCTCTTGGTCTTTTAAATTTTTGCCTATAATTTGAAAACCCTATATATAATCGAAAAAATGCTCGATATAAATGTTGTTGCACTGGATCTTCCGCGTCTGCCGGTTAAAGAATTTTGCCGATCGGATGAACGATTATGTAGGAAAACGTATTTTTCTGGAAGCTAAAGTTACCAAAAAAAAAATTCAAACATTTTAAAAAAATAATTGGTAAAATTTGATTGCGCCCAACTTCTGCCGTTTAAATGTGGATGGGAACTTTTACTTCTCTGGTAAAATTACCAAAAAAAAAATCAAAATTTAAAAAAAAATACTTGGTAAAATTTTATTGCACCCAATTTCTACTGTATAAATATGGACTCGAACATTTACTTCTCTGCTAAGTTTGAAGTTGATATCTAAAAATTTAAGACACTTAACACATTTCTCATTTAGCACGAAATATCTGGAACACCTTGTACAATTAGTGAAAAGCTTAAATACAATAGGTTTTTTGTCTATGCGGGCTATATCACAATAAAAAAGAAAGTGAGATCTGAATCATAGTCTTTCAGTTATAACCAATTTTCAATAATAGGGGAACCCATTTTTCAGTTTTTTTGGATTTGCGGCGCACCCTGTATATTTCAAGAATATTTTTGGTCTCGTAAATAGTTTTTGAACCCTTGCACGAGCGATTTTTTATTTTTTTATATTATTATTTTATATTATTTTTATTATGTGTTATGTATGAAGTCGATTACTTCAAATTTCGGACACTTATCGTGTTTCATAGCAATATTCAAAAAACAATCGAAAATCGCGAAAAGAAGGTCGATACCAGCGTCGGATCCGGGCTATTTCTTATAAGCTTATGTGCCTCGTGTAGGGTTAAAAAGGAAGCAAATTTTGATTTTGTAGCTCCAACGGTTCGAAAGTTATTCAGGAAAAACCAAAAGACGAGAACGGAGAACAGACAGACAAAAAAAATTTTGTTTTCTACGGTAATAATTTCTGTACCAGCGGCGATCCCATAGGAGCTACCGTTACAGAGATATAAAATTTTTATACAAACGCAAGTACTTTCAAAAAATTCGATTTCATCGATTTTCGAAAGAAACAAACAATAATAATATAAAAACAATAGTTACTATTTTTTAAATACCAAAATAGAAGGAACCCATTGAGTAGTAAATAATTACCCATGGGAAAAACAATAGGAGCACGAAAGTATAAAATTACAGAAGCATTCGTGGTTTTATATTCTTTCTGACTCTTATATTTCGTGGAACTCCAAGTTTCCTGGTTCAGATGATACTTCTCCTCGATTCAAGGCCCTTAAAACGTATGCAATTTTTACAGAAAATCTTACCAACCAATTATTTGTTCATGACAAACTGCAAGCAGACTATTCTCTACTTACACCAGCTTTTTAAATGGTAACATTAAAGTATCTTCATGATAGAGCGCGTCACTTGCTGTAGGTTAGAAAAACGAAGGTTTAGATACGTCAAAAAAAAATCACATGATTATCATGTCAAAAGGATCCCTGAAAACGACTAAGAAAAATCACGTCGTATTTCTCACGTCAGCCGCCAACAAGCATTTGTATCTCTCGCAATGAATAATTGAAAATTCGTCATATTTTCGGTATGAAATATTTTTATTGGAGTTACAAATCCGCCTTTCTGCGTTCGAAAGCGACCTTGAACCCGTCTTCGGCCCTTATCAGTATATTCGCGGTGATTTTAATATCCTCGATCCTCTTGTACGAGTAAGAGTGGAACCTGTACCTCCTCAAAACGGTAGCGACCAGTACCTTCATGTAAGTCATTCCAAATTTTCGACCCAGGCAGTTCCTCGGTCCGCAAGAGAACGGGGCAAAGGCGCTCGAGGGTCTCTTCGCTATTTCTTCGGGGAGGAACCTGTCCGGATCGAATTTCAACGGATCCGGCCAGTATTTTTCCATGCGGTGGGTGACTAGGAAGGAATACACGATGGCCGCACCTTTGGGAATTATTTTGTCGCCTGAAACGTTGTTAAAATCGTCATTTTTCTATACATGCTATTTTGGTGATCGAGGAAAATAATCTCGATCACAAAACGTAAACGTAAGAGAGCTACAATCGTCCCTATATGTTACCAAATTTGATGCAAAAGGATTTTATAACTAGAATTCTGATTTTTATGCACAGAAAAGGCTTAACATAGACGCATAAATATGTACGGTTTATCCAAAAATATGTCAAATATTATATGCTTTTTTCTACCATCTCTCTACTTCTGTGTGTCGGAAAAACGTCCTTTCGACGTTGTCAGAAGTAATGCACCTAATGATAAAACTTTTATAATTTTTAAGTAACTTTTGTTGTTACACTATTACATTTATCAAGGATAGTTTTCCCTATTCTGCTTGGAATTGTTTGCAACAAATGTTCGAACTCTTCTGCTATTGAAATTGACTCGAATTTTTTAATAAAGCCACTTAGAAAACTAAAATTAGCTTTAATATATGTCAACTGATAAATTTTTAGTTTTTTTGATTCAATCAGCTGAATCTGGAAAGTGTAATACAATGTTTTTTATTTGATTAAAATGATTCGCGTGAAATAAGGCAGCGTCTTACCACGTGCCCCATCGAGTAATTCCCGGTTTAGGAGGTAAAGGAACGTTTGGCAATGTGTCTCTATAAACTTGAACTCGAAGAGGTGCTTTAACAAATATTTTTTTTAAGTTCGAAATTAAAGAAAAACTGACATCTAATTTCTTCGGAAACTATTTATAAATATAATTAATTAATTTAATCCCGCTTGGGTCATATGGGCTGCTGCGTCGGTGACTAAGAAATATTTTATCAGTTGCTAGTATATCTGGAGCCGAAAAAGCCATTAAGGTTCAATTTACAAATCGAACAATCTCTATACTGTTAGTTTCTTCCAACTATTTTGTACATATTAAAAAAGATTTTGGTAAAATATTTCCATTCAAAACACAAACTAATAAATTCGTAACATTTTTAATATGATTTCTTATGTCTTGAATTACATTTTTGTAAATGGAGCTTACATAATTTTTTCAAAATGTACTTTCACGCGGTACATTTTTGTTGCAAAATGTTTCTAAAAACTGTTTAAAATCTAGTGTTCTGTACTTTATTAAGGGGAATATTTGCACTTAACAGCGCTTCACATAGGTGTAAATTAAAATTGTCTTGATCAGTTGTTCTTGAAGATGCGGCTGAAATGCAAAAAACTGCGAAATTGTATTCTTCTTCATTCTCACCCATGCACTTTTGTGTTTTCCACCGGTGACTTGCTGGTCTATTTGTGATTTTTTCGCACACGTAAACGTAAAGATAAATATTCATTTTAACATAATGTTAATTATCTAATATATAATAATATATAATATCTAATATAGTAAATCAGCTTGATATATATTCAATTACATATTTCAAATTAATTAATGTGAACTTACCACTTTTCCACAAGCCTTGCAGAATACTTCTTTTCCAAAGATAGCTCTGGATGATTTTTAATCCATACAGGCACCAAATGATAATTCACTTTCGGCATTTTGAATTCAATGATAGTTCACTCTCGGACGCTCGGACAGCAAATAAAATGTTAAATGCTTGGAAAAATTGAAAAGTACATATAAAGAGGTGTGGATGTATTTTATGCAATCACAAGCACCATCAGTGATCATTTTCAGAACACTGTGTTCGAAGTGTTTTCGGAGCGCGAGCATTGAAGATGCCAAGTGAGATTTTGGCGAAACGTATACGTATATATGTATACAGGTAGTAATAGAGGAGGAGAGAATTTAGTTTTTAGCTTTTTAAATGATCATTTAAAATATCAAAATTATGGTCAATCGTCTCAATTTAAATGAATGGCATGGTTAGAATACAAAATTTTATCTTTATACGCCCTTTTATGTTCGTTAATGCGTTTCCTTAATGTTCTACCTGTTTGTCTGATATAAATTTTGGTAAGTGATCCCCATCTCAACTTGTAGGCGCCGGATTTTTACGTTTTTCGTAATTTATTTTTTTATTGTTTTTTAAAAAATGTCCTATGGTGTTTTCAGTTATAAAAGCAATATTAAGATTTATATAGATGTTTCGTAATTTTCTTGATATTTTCTCCTATGTATTTTATGGTTTTATAAATTTATAAATAAATTCTTTTTCAAAATTTTCTGTAGAAAGTTGTACATTAAGTAGTCTATGGATGAAAGCATTTTGTGTGCGTAAGGGTGATTTCAGTTATTGTGAATTATTGTGTCCGTGTGTGAGGGTTTATAGTAAATGGAAAAATCTAATTTGTTTTGTAGTTTAGTTATAGTTAAGTCCAGAAAGTTTAGAGAGTTATCCAGTTCCGTCGTATGATAAACTTTATGCGGTTATGTATGGTATTAATAGGATTAAAAAGGACTGCAGTTGTGTTTCCTTTCCAGTGAAACAAGATTGCTTTCGAAAAATCGTAGCTGAGCGGGGCAAGTTCGAGCGCCTAGCGCGAGGCATCTTTTTAATATAAAAAAAGAGTTTCGCGGTTTCTTGTGATAAACGGACGCGTCGTTTTTCTATCGTGCTCCTGCGGACCACTATGGAACTTTCGCAAAATCGATGTAATTTAATTGTGCATGCACCCTGTATAAAGTGTCTTTCACATCTCGTCGAACTTTAAAGTTAAAGCAAATATCGGTAAAGATTAAAATTTGCACAAATAATAGCGTTGTCGACTGATATTTTTTCAAATATCTCTCGCCCTCTATAATTGGTGAAACCTGAAACTCTCTCTCGATACAGTTTACGATACTGTTCAAATAAAATTATCCCATCTTTTACGGTTTTTCATTTATCGCCAATAATTGACTCACAAAAACGGAAATTTTTAGGATATTTTAGAATTTTTGCCCATAAACGACACACCCTGTATATGATTCAATCATTGTTCGAAGTAGAGGTTATAGCCGTGGATTTTCCACGTTTCCTGGTTCAACAATTTTTTGAAAATATTAAATGATTTTCGAGAAAATAAGTTTTTTCTGAAACGATGCAGTGTGCCGTAATAATCAATGACGTCATCGCGTCTTGACAGCCCCCGAAATAACGATTTCAATATGGATTTTTTCAAACATCCCGAGCAGCTTACGTTATAGACGAAAACCGCAAATACAAACGTTGTAGCTGATGATGCGGCCTATGACACTGTTTGAACCGATTAGCCATATTTAGCCATATAATTTGAAAAACCTGTATATAATCGCAAAAATGTCCGAAATACATGTTATTGCACTGAATCTTCTGCGTCTACTGGTTAAAGAATTTTCCCGCTCGGGTGAACGATTATGGACGAAAACATATTTTTCTGGAAGCCAAAATTACCAAAAAAATCAAAATTTTAAAAAAATACTTCTCTGCTAAGTTTGAAGTTGATATCTACAAATTTAGTACACTTAACACATTTCTCATTTAGCACGAAATATCTGGAACACCCTGTACAATAGGTGAAAACCTTAAATACAATAGTTTTTTGCTGTCTATGCGGGCTATATCACAATATAAAAGAAAGTGGGATCTTTAGATTATAACCAATTTTCAATAATAGGGGGACCCATTTTTCAGTTTTTTTTTAATTTGCGGCGCACCCTGTATATTTTTAAAAAATTGCCAAGAAGAAAAATTTATTGAGCATTATCTTCCGCGTCTTTTGGTTCAAGATTTTTTTTGTTCTCGTAAACGGTTTTTGATAAATTATGTTTTTTGTAGACCCTTGCACCCGCGATTTTCTATTTTTTTAGAATACTTCCCGACCCCCCAGCCCTCCCATTTTCAATAGGTTCCGTCACGGGGCAAACCTGCATATATGTGCCAAATATGAAGTCCATTGCTTCAAATTTCGGACACTTATCGTGTTTCACAGATGGATACCGGCGTCGGATCAGGGCTATTTCTTATAAACGAAAAGACGAGAACGGAGAACGGACAGACAAAAAAAATTTTTTTTTCGAAGATGATCATTTCTGTACCAACGGCGATCCCATAGGACCTACCGTTACCGAGCGTAGATACTTTCGAAAATTCGATTTCATCGATTTTCGAAAGTACTAAGCAAAAACATAATCTACGTATCTACACCGTGATATTTTCTAAATTGCCCATGTAAATTTCTGCAAGTAACTGCCTAAATGGGTTTCCCATAATTAATCCTTCTTTTGCAATGTAAAATCGACCATTAAATTCAAAATAATTTTAGTCTATACAAACTATTGCCCATTTGCAAATGTACTATAACTGGTTCGTCGTTGATAATTGAAACAAACTGTGAGCACATTACCGAGATCTATGTCTTCGAAGGCCGTTCGAAGCAGAAACGGAGCCACAGGGAACAAGCGCATAACCTCGTTGATAACTCGTTCGATGTATTTCAGTTCCGGCAAATCCGACATTTCGACGGCTCGTCGCGGTCCAATCACTTCGAGAATTTCCTCGTAGACCTTTTCCTGCAAAAACAAGTTCTCGAATTGAAAAAGAAAGGTTGTAAGGTTACTGCATAGACAAAGAAAAGAAATAGATGTTGTTCAACTTACATTGGACAGTTGAAACTGTCCTTTTGAATGTTGATTTCGGGATTTTCGTTTTTTTATTCTGGCCGTTTTAAAGAGTCATTTGATTCTGGCTAAATTTAATTAACTTTGGTTGGTGGAAAATTGAACTGAGGTGGCTTTTACTTGATAAAAACCCATTTAACGGGATCATTAAGAACTAAAAGCTTAGATTTTCACGAAATTATATATATTCACATGACATTTGCTTCGACAACACCGTTTCTTTATCAAATGTAATATTTACAAACTACCTGCTACTATATATACCGAAAAATAATGGGGAGGTATTTAAATCTAATTGGTCGGTGTATAAAGGAGTTTTGTAAAAAGTGTACAATATCATATTTTTATCTTTTGTATGCTTATAATAAATTAATTGAAGTTAAATTAAATAATTAAAAAAATGACTTAACAAAATCCCTGAAATACATCACTCATCTTACCTGCACGTCTGGATGAAATCCGAGGACCATAAACAAGAAATTGGACGTCGTGGTCGTGGTATCGGCGCTCTGCAAACACAATTAACGTGAGACACTGCCTTCGTAACGTCGTCGCTAGTTTTTTACAGCGATCAGCATCGTCAGCATTTCGTCCACCATCTCCGAATCGGTATACCGATTGTCCGCCAGTAGAAAATCGAGGAAGGACACGAATTGAGCGTCCATTTTTTCAGTCGGTTGTCGTTTGCGTTCGTCGACGATTTTTTGCACAAACGTTCTCACTTCTTCGACGAGCAGTATCGCCTCTTTGCCCAGAGGCGTCTTGTAAAACACAAAATCGCTATGAAGGTAAATCCTGAACACTCTCGTCGCTAGTATTTGCAGGCCTCGATCAACTAGGCGTACGAAATTGCTGCCTCCCGCGTACGCGTGTGCCTTTATCCCTAAGACGATCTCTGGAACGAGATTTTGGGATGATAAAAAGGAGACTTCAACGCGAGGATAAGAACGGAACCCCGGGTGGCTTTTACTCGATGAAAATCCATCTAACGCAATTCAATTAGAAAGAAAAATGTTTGCAAATTATTTATCGAGATCAAAATATTACAATATTCCAAGATCTGCATACAAGATGTCCAGTATAAGATAGGACACCACCTTATCTCAGAAAAGTTAATTGGGGTGTTACCAACCTTAAATTTATATTTATTTTGTATATACAGGGCTCTTCATTTTTCGCGGGCGAGTATCAACTTTCTTATTTTAAATGAAACACCCTAACAAACTAACAAGATACGCGATAGCGTAGGTGAATATTTTATTAACGAAAAAATCAAAGGAAAATTAATAGTTTACAAATTAATTAATGCAACAGTTGTTCATTTTTTTTTTCAAAGAAACTTCCATAGGCTACTGTAATGCTGCTTACAAAACTTCTGGATTCCTCCTGCGTCGATTTTTGCTTAGACGAAATTGCTGACGTTTCGCCAATCATCCTGTTGGCTTCTTCAGAGCAGTTTCAGTCAAACTCTGAAGAAGCCAACAGGATGATTGGCGAAGCGTCAGCAATTTCGACTCAGCAAAAACCGACGCAGGAGGAATCCAGAAGTTTTGTAAAAAGCAGTTATTCAATATGTTCAATATCTAACAAGGGATGATATTCTTGCTTGTTTCACTCGAACGGAATGTCCGTAACTAAATTACAGAATAAATTACAACTACAAAACACACGTAATAATTCACTGCCACAAACACAAAATGGCTGGCTTCTATTAAAATAAATAAGAACTAAAAGTTCAGATTTTCACCAAATTATATATTTTTACATGAAAATTGTTTGGACAACAGCGTCTCTTTATGAATGTCTATATATAGTATGCTATATATAGTAGCAGGTAGTTGTAAATATTACATTTAATATAGACACGGTGTTGTCGAAACAATTGTCATGTAAAAAATGGATTTTCATCAAGTCAAACCCACCTCAGTTCAATTTCTGGCTTTTATTCTTTATCGCCGCCACTGTCCACAGAAAATTTTTAATGGAGAATTAAATATTTTAAAACAAATACTTTTTACATATTAAACACCGAAATCAAAATTTATGAAACAATAAAAAGAAAGTTTCGAAACATTCATGGGTGCTTCAAAACTGTGAGCCAGAGGAACCCACATATTGCTTAAAAATATGTTTTTTTATTGCCAGCTAACCTAAAGGAGATGGAAAAACGAAACGAAAACTGTCGCAAAACTCGGGCAGTCTTCAAAAACTTATCAGTTTCGTTTATAATTCGACGTTACTGTAATTTTTATATGTGCCACCCTGTATAAATATTCAATGTCGAATGCAACATTACCGCACGATATTTCGAAGATCCACTTGCTAATTAAGTTGTTAATGTCGATTTCACCTTTGCCAGCGTACCCCTTCATCTCTTCCACTAAAACTTCGGTCTCCTCGACGATCGCACGGAAGTAACTGCACAGTTTCCTGTGACTGAACGTAGGTTGAAGTATTTTCCGGTGTTTCTTCCACGTAGGCACTAGACAGAGACAAAAACAATAGCCTAATTGTTACAGTCAAATTAAAATTGCCACCCCAATATATTTTCGTCATCACACCTACAAAAGACTGTATTGAAGTACCAATACCCTGATATACGAGGTGTAAGTTAACTTTCGTAATTGGGTGGCTGCATACATTCCATCTTCGATAGATTTTTTTTGGTATGTTGGTACACATGTCCGTAACATATGTTCACAGTTTAAGTCAGTTTGCATTGTTTGTGGCCCAAAAGGGTTGGACATGTGTGTTGTGTGCTCGGCGATTTTCTGTTGTCAAAAAAAAAATGGACCAAAGAGTTTGCATAATATTTTTTGAAAAATAGAATACGGTGCTACAAAACATCTAAAATATTGACAACGGCATATGGTGAATCTACTTTGAGCAATAAAAAATGTTTGTGGTACAAGCTGTTCCAAGATGGCCGAGCACGTAATAACTGATGAAAGCGTTGAAGAAGTTGAACAATTATTATACAAGGTGTTCACAAAAAAATTCCATATTTATAAACAGTTTTAATTAAATATTTCGAAATACACATATTTAAGTAAATAAAAAAATAATAATACAGGGTGTCCCAAAAGTAACGATTTAACAAAAAAAATGTTATTTATTTAATATAGATTAAAATAAAATATTGTTACCGGATTTTTTAAAATATTTAAGTTTGCTTGAAAGAAACGAAATAAAACAATAACCGGGTTTTTATACATCTAAGGCATCATTCTATTAAACACTTTGCTCTGTTTTTGTTGTTGACGTTAATGACCTTCCTAATTAGTCTTTGATAAGGAAAATGTTCATTGTACGAAATGTATTATGAGTTCAATTCATTAGTTTGGGCTCTTCCCTGGTCCACCATGGCTCGTGTCATACAATTATTTTTGAAGTTGTTGGCTTGAAACGTGTTTACTTCAACCAAAAATATAGTGCATTTACAACCAACCCCTACTGCTTATTACTGTTTATTACTCCAAAACCGCAGCCCCTTATAGAATACCATGCCGAGCAGAGCCGTACTCTTACCTACACTAACAAGCGGGATATAAGTATGTATTCAATGTACTTCACCGAGCAATTCATGAAACATGTACATAAAAAAATGGTACAATGTAACAATTTATTACGTTTCATTTCATTACATTTCTACATAGTATCATTATAAATATACAAAATAATAAATATAATAATAATAAAATATCATTCACTTAAAAAATCGTCACTAATATTTTCTTTTATTACTCGTTTTCCACAGTTAGAACAGCTTCGTACTGACATTTTAGCTACCTCTTACCGAATTACGTTTACTGTACTGTCACTAAATGTTTATTTTATTTTTAATAACTCCACAAGTTGTTTTTTCGTGCTCTCTTCAAAATATAAATCATTTTCATACAGAAATTCTTTAATTTCTTTTTTTAATTTTGGGCTTAATGATACGAGGCATTGCCCAACACAATAACAGTATTTGGCGATAGTTTTGGTTAGTTCCGTAGTAATCCACACTTGAATCTTTGACGTTTTGGCAGACAAAAATAAGGCATCTTTCACCCAAATATTTTTGGACCCAGCATTAAGAATTATTATGGCATTTTCCATGTGTGAAGTTGGCACGTATAGTACACACTTGTTACTTTCAAAAAACCGACGAAATCCAATTTTTTCAAAGTATCTACGCTCTAAAAATTTTATATCTCGGTAACGGTAATTCCTTTGGGATCGCCGGTGGTACAGAAATGATCACCATGGAAAAAAATGTTTTTTGCCTGTCAGTTTTCCGTTCTCCGTTCTCGTCTTTTGGTTTTTCCTGAATAACATTCGAACCATTTGAGCTACAAAATTGAAATTTGGCTCCTTTTTAACTCTCCACAACATACATGATCTTGTAATAAATCCCCTCGATCCGACCCCGGCATCCATCTTTTTTTCGCGATTTTCGACTGTTTTTTGAACATTGCTATGAAACACGATAAGTGTCCGAAATTTGAGGCAATCGACTTCTTACTTCATATTTGCCACATGTATGCAGCTTTGCCTCTTGACGGAACCTATCGAAAATGGGAGGGCAGGGGGTCGGGAAGTATTTAAAAAAAATGCGTGTGCAAAGGTCTACAAAAAAGACAATTTTTCAAAAACCGTTTGCAAGACCGAAAAAATTATTTAACCAGAAGACGCATAAACTTTTATTCTTGACAATTTCTCAAAAATATACAGGGTGCGCCACGAATTAAAAAAAAAACTGAAAATGGGTTCCCCTATTATTGAAAACTTACAATAATTTAAAATCTGTGCTTTAAATGTCAATTTCTCTTACATGACGATATAGTCTGTATAGACAGCTAAAACTTTTGTATTTAGGGTTTTCAAGGTGTTCCAGATATTCCGTGCAATATTAATAAACTTAATAAGTGCCTCAAATTGCAGCTACCGACTTCAGACTTGGGAGAGGAGTAGAAGTCCGGACAAGAACTATATTTTTTTAATTTTAGAATTTTTTTTTGGTTATTTTGGCTTTCAGAAAAAATCTTTTGCAACCGTAATAAGTGGGAGATCCGGCGCTATAACTTTTGTGTGTGTCGATTATTTGTAAAAAAAAAATTCTTAAAATTTCCGCTTTCCTGGCTAAGTAATTAGTTGTAAATGTACAGGGTGCGCCAGATATTTGAAAAAATGTAATTTGAAATCGCTATTATTTGTAAGTTTGGTGCATGCACAATAAAATTACATTGATTTTGCGAAAGTTCCATAGTGGTCCGCAGGAGCACGATAGTAAAACAATGCGTCCCTCTAGGACAAGAAACCGCGAAACGCCTTCTTTTTGAAATACAAAGCTGCTTCTCGCTACGCACTACAAACTTGCCCCGCCCAGCGACGATTTTTCGAAAGCAATCTTGTTTCGTCTAAATACACTATTGGATCACTTTGCTTTCGAAATTTTTCCATTGCATTTAAATAATCCACCCCAAATTGTTTGAGATTCCATTATCACTTGAAGTTTATTAATTGTTTCGAACTAAAAATCCATTTTCTTCAAACAATTACGCAACGACTCTTTGGCACAACAACTATTCACTTTAAAGCGTCGTAAATTACATGCCTAATTAGATCTGCGTGTTGCTCTTTAAAAACTCGCAGAGTACCAGCATCTTCTCTCACTTTCCTCTTGACTATCCCATTTGAAACAATTTTTCTTACGGTTGACTTCGGAACTTTGGTCATGTCACTTGTTTTTATTGCTGCTCCTACTTCCCCTTCTGAATTTCTTATAAAATTATAAACATTTAAACACTAACCAAAAACATAGTGCATTTAAAACGTCAAAGCAATAAATGCACTATATTTTTGGAAGTATTGTAGCCGCAAAATTTGTTCCCAAACTACTTAATTTTGAACAAAAGGACCGTCGAAGCTGCTCAACGACGTTAATAATAATCCGGATATGCTCATATGGTTATAAAGTCGAAACCAAATCATAGTCGTCCTAATGGAAGAACCAAATGTCAATGCTTATTGTGTTTTTTGATTATAGCGGCGCAGTAAGTCAAGAGTTCGTACCACAAGGCCGTACGGCCAACAAAAAGTGTTACCTTAAAGTTATGCGCCGCTTGCGTGAATCAATAAGAAGAAAACAATTGCATTGCATCACAACAATGCAAATGCTCAGTCGTCGTTGCTTCTGTCTAACTTTTTGGCCAAAAAAAACCACAGGCATGCCTTAGCCACCATATTCCCAGGATATGGCACCCTGCGAGTTTTTCCTGTTGCCGAAACTTAGGAAACCCATGAAAAGAAGAAAGTGTACTATATCTGACTGATATTGAGGAATGAATAAAAAAATACATTTTGATAAAACTAAGAACATAATGGCTATATATTCAAACACTGTATTTACCTGGCGCTGTCAGCAGTCCGTGTCCCAGAGCTATCTCAGCGATCCTGTAAATGTCAGCTTTCTGCAGTGCATGCTCGCTGTTCAGTATAGTATCTATATCTTTGGGGTGCGAGACCGCACAGTATAATTGCGGTCCAAACCACAATCGGAAACTGCCATGGTAGCTTTTGTACATCTGGGACAGGGTAAGAAAAATATCTGAAATGCATGATTTATTATTTTCACCTGGAAAGTGGAAATTTTTTCTACTTTCGTACTCTGCCTTTGGTGGCCCCAATTTTTGCTGGTACCCCATGTTATCGATCCAGTTTAGTCAGTAAAAATACAAGTAATTCCGTATTATATGACAATGTTGCTATAAAATCGCTACAAAAATGGAAAAATTTGAAGATTCAACATTGGTGATTCTATATGTCTTATATCTTAGATGTGTGTTTGAATGTTTTCGAAAACAAAAACTCACTCAAAACTCAAGGTGCAGTCAGCAAATCCAAGTTGCTCTATTTTTAAAGCTCTAGATACAAATAAGCTAGTAGCAAATGCTAAAGAACCAACAGTTTACTCTATATTTATTTATTTCTAGCAAGAAGTGGTAATTGGAATATTGAAAAGAGTTAACAATCGTTCATTTCATGATTCATGGCATTAGATTAGGAAAGGGTTAGATACACAAAATGTGGGTCCCTATACTGCCTGGCTAACCAACCGTACAAGATTGGCCGGTACAGTATCAGATTTTTCCGGATTTGTCAATATATAGTTATATTTAATCCCCCAGAAAATTTATAAACATTGGCAAGGCCGCAATTCCACATTGCTCAGAAGTTCAAGCCGCAATAAAAAGTATTTTATGGTAATGAAACATTAAAATATGAACACGAAGCATTTGGCGAAATATCTATAATAAAGGAATTTGTAACCTATGAAAAAATGAAAGATTGGCGAGCTAATGATATGTGGATGGTGGTTGGGTTTGCACTCTGCCTACCTCATGCAGAGGAAGGAAGAGTATTTTCAATTATAAATAACTTTTGCAGTACCGAAAAAATTGAACTGGGGTGGCTTTTACTTGATGAAAATCCATTTAACAAAATAAATAAAAACTAAAAGTTATATTATATATATTCACATGACAATTGTTTTACAAATATTTACAAACTCCCTGCTACTGCATATATCGAAAAATGACAATAAAACCTTATTTAATGTTGTTGCGAGAATTGAAGTTTAATAATGGAGAGGTATTTATATCTAATAGATCGTTGAGCAATACATTTGAATGTCCCATTTTGTTAATCTCCATGGCTTCCAATAAATTAAATTTTCTACTTTTTGTGGCTGTATGTAAAATATCAACATTGTCGTCAAAAATGTGTGTATGTCCAATATAAATTTTAGGACATGACCCGCATTTCACACTGTAGATGTCTGATTTTTGAGATTTTGGACACTTCGTTTTATTCTTTTTTAAAAATTTTCCAATTGTGCTGTTAGATCTGAAAAATATTTTTTTACCACATTTTTACAAATGTTTTCAAACTTTTTTACTTCTATTCTCCTATGTATGTAATTGTTTTAAATTGTTCGTGTTCTGTATTAGGTTTTGGATAAATAGAGTTTATTGTTGTCTGGATTTGTTTTTTATTTATAATTTTATCGATAATGGAGTGATTGTAGCCGTTATTTAGTGCAATTTGTTTAAGGATATTAAGTTCTTTGTTGTATTTTTCTGTTGAGAGTGGCGTATTAAGAAGTCTGTGTATAAAAGAGTGAAATGCAGCCATTTTGTGTGCATAAGAATGATTTGAGCTGTTTTGTATGATTGTGTCCGTGTGTGAAAGTTTATTATAAATGGAAAAATCTAATTTGTTTTGCGTTTTCGTAATGGTTAAGTCTAAAAAATTAATCTGCTCAATCTCGATGGTGAATTTTATACGATTATGTAATGAGTTGATGTAATTTAAAAAAAAAATCAATTGTCTGTCTGTTCCAACAAAGCAAGCAAAGACATCATCTACGTATCTATACCACAATAGAAAACTTTTACTTAAAGGATGTTGTTTAAAAATAAAAATCTCTGCTAACAAAGCACTAAGTGGGTTTCCCATAATCAAACCTCCCTTAGAGATGTAAATCGGCCCATTAAATTCAAAATAATTTTGGTCTAAAGATACTAGTAAGCAATCTAATAAACCTTGTTTCACCAATGCGTTAACCTGTCTCCGAGTGAGGGTGAAATCTACTAACTCTATCACATCCACAGGTGGAATACTGGGAAATAAGTTTTGTACATCAAAAGACAATAGTGTTGCGTTAGAAAGGATTTTGATATCTTTAATTTGGTTGATTGATTCAAAAGAATATTTTATTGCGAATTTTGGTTTAAAATCTGTGTGGAACTTTAAAATATTTACTAATTTTGTGGAGAGTTTAACTGCTGGAGCTGTTACATAAGACACGACTGATCGAATGGGCATATCTTGTTTATGTAATTTAACTAAAGAATATAATATCGGCGGTTGTGGATTCATAATTGTTAAAAAATACTTATCTTTGTCACTAAATAATGTGGAGTTAGTAATTGCTTCCTTGATTTGTCTTTGATACAACTCAGTAGGATCGTGTTTGATACATTGGAAAAGTTCTGGTTTAAGAAAATTGTTGTTGTTTTAGTTCTTATTTATTTTGTAACTAAAAAAGTCAACTTAGATGATTGCTTAGATGATGTTGAAGCTGCAACGGAGGTTGAACTTTTATTTATTAATGCGTTTGTTGTTGTTTGTTGTAAATTTTTGAGAATTAGTTATTAGATATTTGCGAAAAAATATATTTTATTTCCGTTATTTATTAGTGTATTATGTACTAAACAAATAAATAGAAGCTTCAAACAAAAAAAATACCATTGTATACAACAATAAATTTATTAATTTGATGCTTGCGCTTTTTATTTGTATTTACGCACTCTTTACCAAATAATCAGACTCTCGAGTAAAGTCAATATAAAAGCAAATTCTTACCCAACGAGTTGCCCATGAACGACAAAGCGCAACCGAGAAACGGCAACGACGGTGGCCCCGACCAATTCCTAGTCTTTGCATTTTGTATCCGTTGCCGCCATGACAGATGGAAATAATACGCGAGGAGCGTACTCGCGAAAATCGCAATTAGAACATGCGTAGGCGACACCCCGTTGTAGAAAAACTTTGGAGTTTGGTCCATGTTTTTGAGCTGAAATCGAATATTATCAATGACGATTAAAAACGTTAAAAACTTCAATAATAAAAAGGCATGATAGAGCTTTTTAGAGGAATATTTGGATAGCACTTTTCTACAAAGATAATAATTACAGATCTAGATTTAAAAAAATAACTGTACAAATATAACCTATTTTATTCATTACATTTTAATATAAATTTACAAAAGAAACTTCTATGAGACCTTAACAAACAACAAAAGCAACAAAATTAGAGAAGGCAATTATACCTTTTTAATCATGCTAAAAAATAATTAACAATTAAAAAGCAATTTAAGAAAGGCAGGAACTAAAATGTCATGTATGTTTTATGATTCATAACCTCCCCGCTATGCATAAATATGGGAGGTATTTGATTAGTTTTGGTTAGTTTTGGCTTGTTTTGGTTTTGGTTAATTTGGTTTAGGAGATACAAAAAAAGATTCGTACAGAAGTTTCTTAGATTTTCCTGAAGATTTTAAATATTATAATTTTGTTGAAATCCGTGTTTAAAATAATGGCAACTTTCTTAAATGAGTTATATTCGAATTTTGTATAGTTTAGGTAGAAATTGAGGTTATGTGCTTTTTTTCATACTTTGACTGCCCCATATAAAATTGTGTTGTGACACTACTGATCAATGTATTGCAACGATAATTTAACCACAGACTAAGAAATTGATGCACTACTCAATCAGTTTGACAGATGCGTCTCAGCTTATACAGGCTGTCTCAAATAGGTAGTGCCGTTTTGACGAATTCAGTTAACAAAATCTCAAGATTTTTATTCAGATATCAATTCTAGGACAAAAAACAAGGAAACTTTGTATTTTATCTTATATTTAAATTTTGCTTACTGTTTCAGATATTCGAGGTTAAGATTGAGTAGTGTAGTCCGCGGTAAAATTTTCGTTGCAATACTTGAATCAGTAGCGTCATAACACAGTTTTATATGGGGCAATGAAAAAAAACTAGAACCCTGGAAGAATAAGACTGTGATAGTTGCCTATTCTGAGTAAAGGCAATGTCAAAGACAATCTGTACCATTTTTTAAAATTTCTTTTCCATAAAAACGGGTAGGTTTTTATCAGAAAAAATATGAATATATAGTGTGTGTCATTTGAGAAAATCTAGTACATATTTTACGTCACCTTCGAATAACGCTGATATCCAATATAAGTGATCTACCTTTAAAAAGTAATGGCAAGTGTAAAAACTACCATTTTTTGGAAAAATTAAAATATTAAAGAAACTATTACTTTAGCATTGAAGAATTTTGAAAATAGTCACTTTTTATTCGTCGCTACTTTTTCAGTCGACCTGTATACTGTAAAATACTTTTAAGTTGTGCATCAAAACAATTTTTAAAACTTTTAGTGTTTACCGTTTTCTCATAACTTTGCTTTGGCCTGTGTTGTGATATTTAAAGCCCACTGTGTCCAAAACTTTCCAAATGTTACTGATTCCATAGCCTACTCTATTAGGAAAGATATTAAGATGTTTTTGGAAAGTATCTCCGTTATTCCAAAAACTGTATTAGAAAAGTAAAAAGTGTTTTTGTTGCAGTTAGGTAAGTTATGTAAAACTTAAAAAACTAGACTTAAAAATTGCTTACCTGAGAAGCCCGTTGCGTTCAGTACAGTGGAAGCGACGATTCGAATAAATGAAAGCAAAGGTATCACCAAAATATCTACATAAATATAACTACATAAATACTGAAATTTTGTTATTAAACAGTCGGAAACAAAAAATGTATAGCCAATTAACGACTATAATTGTGTAATAATTTTCCGTGATAGGTTGTCTAAAAAAGGGTCCGAGTCTCCTGAGGAGGACGTGAAAATAACTAAATAATGTGTTTCTCATGCTCATGCTTCATAAATTGTTATGAGAAATTGTTTTGCACTAACTAGCAAGCTCCTCAAAAAACTGCGTTGGTTCGATTTCCCATCAGTTTTTCTACAACGCACTAGGATATAAAAAAACGTTCTAAGAGTTTAATGTTGAGGGAGAATAGAGATATGGGAAAAATGGCATACTGTTGTTTTGTTACCATTTTGGGCACTTTAATGGGGATAGATTTTTTGTGAAATTGAAATGCCGTTGAGAAAATTATGATGGCCTTCTTGGTTTTTGAGATTCAGGGTGAAATCCAAAACTATCGATATCCAATCAATATCCAAATAACCAATTATTAACACACAAGAATTTCGATACTTTCAAATTCAATTATTTAAATCATTATAAAAAGAAATCTAAAATTGAAAGATCGTTAGATCGTGAAGGTCATTTTACAGATCCGTTGATATATATGCGTTTTTGAGGGAAGGGGTCATCTAAAAATGACATCATTACAATATACTATATGTCTAGATATAATACGACCAAAAATATATTGCACCTATTGCTTGAACGTTTTAAGTATTGTACCGTTCTAACTATACTACCGATACTTTATTATTATTATATATATTAATAATGATACTATGTAGAAATATAAAAATAATAAATTTTTACTTTGTACTATTTCAAGAATTGCTCGGCGAAAAAGATTGAAAACATACTTATATCCCTTGTTAATGTAGGTAGATAAATTCCTAGGGTAAGGGTCTGCTCGGTAGAGTGTTCTATAAGGGGCTGCGGTTTTGGAGTAATAAACAGTAGGCAAAATTAATCACGGGGTCGGTTGAAAAAGCACTATATTTCTGGTGGAAGTAGACCTGCGAGCTGTAAGAACTCCTTCATAAAATCGATAGTCGTTGTTCCAAAATAAAACACGATACCCCAAACCCAAAGCGCACTTGTTGGGCCCTTACAAAAGCAAAATGGCCGTTTTCTGTCTACCAGTTCCACGTCTTATGGCGATTAAACATTGCAGAACTTGAAAGGTAACATTCGTCGGACCAAATTACAAGTCTCATAAAAATATCGCTGATTAGTATTGATTTGGATACAAATGACGATTTACTGCTAGATTTATTTTCATTAACTATGGTAATATTATTCCGAAGCTTTTTGGGCATTTTCATTCCATTGCACATCATATTTTTCAGAATTTTCATAGGCCATTATTATACAAAATTAATTGAAATGCAAAAAAAAACAAATGCTAGCTAATAAAAATAAAAGTAATAAAATGTTTGACATATTTGCTTTTTTGTTTTTAATGGATAATAGCCAGCTATTTACTTAACATTATAATCATACAATATTTATCATGAAGTGAAGTGATATCAGGGATCAATCTTTTACTGTATATCTTATGTACAGGTTATTTATATTTTTGATTTCGTTGCATTATGATGAGGTCATGCACATGTTTTTACTTATAGCGAGAAACATGATTTAAGGTTACATGTGCCTAAAACTCGGGTGCTACTCTGTGCTCGCGACTCTGCAATGCCATTCCTGAAAAGGTACTTGCATCTTGAGATAAATGGGGAAACTTGTTTTGCTACCAAGGCCAAAAATTTTGCCAACATTACTTTCCTAAATAAAAAATTAGTTTAGTTTTGTATGCCTAAATTTAACTGCTCAAAAAATATGAAGAGAAAGTGGATTTTATTTTTGTTTTCAAAAACTAAGCGATGAGATATGAAAAGCAGTCTAGAATCAAAAAAGATATGTAATCTGAAACGAATATAGGTTGCAAAATAGTCAGTTTTATCTTAACTCGGTACAGCAATCACTCCTTAAAAAAGTATCAACTAAGCGATCACCATAATATATACTTTATTAAATTATGTTATATTATACTTTATTTATATTTACTTATATATTTATTTATATTTATTTACCAAGTATTAATTTGTCTAATTCTAATTTTGAAAATTTCTCCTTTTTCTTCATTTCCAACCAATAAAGTTTCATTGCCAGTTCATTTAAAATCAGCGGGGTCTGAGCTTGTAAACGCCGCTGCCGCCTGATCTTGCTATCTCATTGACCTAGCAAAATAATAAAAAACAAGGCATGATGTTGGTAGACTACAAAACAATGGTTCGTTCAGCTTGGAATTTATCAAATCTTATGTTATATATTACCATAAAGCTTTACTTACATGAATTATTAGTTCTTCAGTAATAATAATACCATCAAAAAATAACTGAAACGAAAGCTCTGAAAGCACAGCACACAAAATACTCAAAATAGACGCCAAGTCGCCGAATACCTTATACTGCCAACAAAAACAAGGTTTCTTTCGAAAAATTATCACTGAGCGGGGCAAGTTCGTAGCGCGTAGCGCGAAGCAGCTTTTTATTTTAAAAAGAAAGAGCTTCGCGGTTTCGTATGGTAGCGGGTCGCATTGTTTTTCTATCGTGCTCCTGCGGACCACTATGGAACTTTCGGAAAATCGATGTAATTTAATTGTGCATGCACCCTGTATAAAATGTCCTTCACATCTCGTCGAACTTCAAAGTTACAGCAAACATCCGTAAATATTAAAATTTGCACAAATAATAGCGTTGTCGAAGGATATTTTTTCAACTTTCTCGCGCCCCGTGTAATCGATGAAATCCGAAACTCTCTAACGACACGCTTTACGATACTGTTCAAATAAAATTATCCCATCTTCAACGATTTTTCATTTATCGCCAATAATTTACCACAAAAACGGAAATTTTTAGGATATTTTAGATTTTTTGCCCATAAACGACACACCGTGTATACGATGCCATCATTGTTCGAAGTAGAGGTTATAACCCTGGATTTTCCACGAGCCTTGAAAATAGTAAATGGTTTTCGAGAAAATAAGTTTTTTCTGAAACCATGCAGTCCGCCGTAATAATCAATGACCTCATCGCGTCTTGACAGTCCCCGAAATAACGATTTCAATATGGATTTTTTCAAATATCCCGAGCAGCGTATGTGATATTGTGATGCGAAAAAATGCCTAAAATAAATGTTATTGGACTGGATCTTCTGCGCCAGCCGGTTAAATAATTTTGCCAAGCCGATGAACGATTACGGAGGAAAACATATTCTTCTGGCAGCTAAAATTACAAAAAAAAATTTCAAACATTTTTAAAAAATACTTGCGAAAATTGGATTACGCCCAATTTCTACCGTTTAAATGTGGACCCGGACTTTTACTTCTCTGCTAAATTTGAAGTTGATATCTGGAAATATAGGACACCTAATAAATTTTTCATTTAGCACGGAATATCGGGAACACCCTGAACAATTAAATATGAAAGTTTTTGCTGTCTGTGAGAGCTATATCGCAATATAAAAGAAAGTGAGGTCTGAATCATAGTCTTTCAGTTATAACCAATTTTCAATAATAGGGGGACCCATTTTCCAGTTTTTTTTGAATTTGCGGTGCACCCTGTATATTTTCGAAAAATTATTAAGAATAAAAGTTTATAGAGCCGCATCTTCTGCTTCTTTTGGTTCAAGATTTTTTTTGGTCTCGTTAATAGTTTTTGAAAAATGATGTTTTTTGTAGACCCTTGCACACGCGATTTTTTATTTTTTTAGAATACTTTTCGACCCCCCAGCACCCCCATTTTCAAATAGGTTACGTCACGGGGCATACATGTGCCAAATATGAAGTCGATTACTTCAAATTTCGAACACTTATCCTCATATCAAGGTCCAAAAAACAGTCGAAAATCGCGAAAAAAAGCTTATAAGCTTATGTGCCTCGTGGAGGGTTAAAAAGGAGGCAAATTTCAATTTTATAGTTCCAACGGTTCGGAAGTTATTCAGGAAAAACCAAAAAATGAGAACTGAGAAGGGACAGACAAAAATTCAAAAATTTTTGGTGATCATTTCTATACCAACGGCGATCCTATAGGACTCACCGTTACCGAGATTTCATCGATTTTCGAAAGTCAAAAGGCTGAAAACATGGCGGACGACGAGACGGACGAGAAGCCGACGAGTATGGAGCGAGTCCGGCACGGCACGACCGCGAGGAGTTGCGCCATTGGTTGCAGCAGAACAATGTTGTCAAATGGGATGTTATAAACAAATATATTAATTTGTCACTTAGATGAATCCGTATTTTCTGTAGTATTTTTATTCAAATTCAAATAGAAGGAACGCTCGTTCGTGTCCAAAATTAATAAAAACAAGTTGGTTTTAACGGTTTGATTCCGGTTCTTTTTTAGGACTTGCCAACACTGACGTCGATGTAGATGTGTACAGAAACGCCAAACACAACGAATGTAAAAAAACTAAGTATTTTCGTTCTCAGTTGTTCAAAATTTAACTTTTTAGGTTTCTATTCTAATGTTCCCATTATCCTATTAAAGGATATCTGTGGTATATCGTGTACAGTAAATCAGCAAGCCATCCATTCAGAATATATCCCTGGGATGTATTTTACAGCATATCCTTAGTATATATGCTAACGTATATCTTTAGAATATCCTCGATATGTCCCGGGATATGCGACTTAACGGGATATACTGGGGACATTGTGTGTTATCTGGGTAATCTTTTAATCGGCATGCACACTTCTTTGCCTTATAAGCTTAAAAACAATTTCGAAAGAACATTAAAGTCGTGTCATTAGATAAATAAATTGCTGATTGGGTTTTTCGTCTTTTAATTAATCACAGAATATTTTTTATAATTACTTGCTTTCTTTTTCTTTTGTTTATATTTTATATTTAATTTATACAGATTTTAGTATTGTATACTGTGGTATTATGTATATTATGTATCTCAATTCTTAATAAAGTCTAGTTTTATTATTATTTTTGAAAAGCCCGAATGATTTCCAATTAG